AAACACTCATTAACTCATGCAGGACTGTAAACTCTGTTCATTTGCACCTACATTCAACTGCGACTCAAATGACATGCAGACGCGCATTACAGTAACATAACAGTAAACATTCCCTTTGAGGTCAGATGTTTACACTACATAGAACATTAAGAACCTGCCCCCCTTTAATTGTCCTTTATTCCTCGAGTGATGCTCAGATCTCAGCGTCGCCCCGCCTCTGACTCCGCCCACCGCACAAAGCCCCGCCCACGAGCCCTCCCCGCGCCCCGCCCATCGCCGCTGACAGGAATGTGAAACCTCATCCAAAACCGTGAAGATGACTAATTGATCTTTATAAAACCAAACGTACGATATAAAACGCGTATGAAGCACATTTCAGATTTCTGTTTGTTAGTTTGTTTCAATCACATTTTCATCACGTGACTCTCAACGCCCAGTTTCACTTTGAACATTATAGTTCTGCAGTTCTGTTTTTGTTAAATATAGTGGATTGAGAAAGTACGATATAAAGTAAGTTTCCCAAAATAAGTGCAGATGCATGAAAAATGTACTTAAGTACAGTAATGAAGTAAAAATACCCTCCTTCAAAAGTGTTTATAAAAACCCTAATTATTATTGTTCATTTAGAAACTAGACTAAAATATTTAAAGTTTTCATGTTTGAAAATGACCATTCCCAGAATTCCAGTCGATGTTATAATCACTTTATTATTATTTTAGCAGGAGGAAGACTCTTAGTGAGACTCGAGGAGAACGTCCATCAAACACTCGATGGTTTCTGTAGAAAAGAAATCATAAAGACAGCACATGGTGCTCTACAAGCATGCATTCATTTAATACACAGCAGATCAAAGACCTTAAACTCTTCAGAGGTCTCCGAAACAACGAACACGTGTCTGTATGGAGTGATGGGCAGAAACAATAATATTGCAGGATTGATGTGATTCACGCCGACGCCGTCTTCTTCTCTTTGTAGCTGGCCATCATCTTCTTGATCTCGGCGATGGCTTTGCCTGGATTCAAACCCTGCGGGACGAGAAGCGCATCAGAAACACACATCAGCAGCTCAAACGTCTGGTGACTCTGGCGTGCGCGTCTGACCTTCGGGCAGGTTCTGGTGCAGTTCATGATGGTGTGACAGCGGTACAGAGAGAAGGGGTCCTGGAGCTGGGAGAGCCTCTCCTCAGTGTAATCATCACGAGAGTCGATCATCCAGCGGTACGCCTGCAACACAGAGCACAAAAAATGTTTTGTGTAATGTAACGTATTTTAAAATGTTGCTACTTTGTTTCAGAACATTCAGAGAACATTCAAAAGTAACGTTCCCAGTAATGTTTGCAAAATGATCCAATGGAATGTTTCCTAACTACACACAACACGACGATCAAATATCACAGCCAATCAGAAGCGTGCGTGGGCGGAGCCTCTCTGGACGTTTCTAATCGAATTCATGAATATTAATCCCTTTTAACATTATTAAACGTACTGAGTGGCTGATAACATCTTTGTTATGGAAAACACTTGTTGGTTAGCATTGTTTTATCGTACATCTTTGCTTTATTTTCAAACTATCTGTTGTTGCTTTCAGTATGGCTATAAATGCCACGCAAAATGATATTCAAACTCATATTAGAGACGTTTCGCTTTGAATAAAGCACACTGAGATGATCACAGTCATGTAGTTTGAATGTTGTTGCTCCAGCCGCGGCGTCGCGGAAACCGTTTTCTAAAATAGAAATTTCACGTGTCGCGGCTAGTTAGGACAAAAACTGAATTATGGACTCATTTAGGCAACGGTTTGAAGTTAAAAGTGTCTTAATGCTGGATGTGTCTCAGCTTTCGTCTTCTCCGGATGTTGACTGATGACTGGAGTGCTGTGGATTATTGTGATGTTTTTATCAGACTCTCATTCTGACGGCACCCATTCACTCACTGCAGGTGAATGGTTCATACAGCACTATTTTCAGCTTTATATTTGGTATATATTCTGTAAAAATGTTTATTTCTTCAGGGTTTTTTCCCACTGATTTTCTAAGCGACTTTTGCATGTACACAAGAAACTTTTTTGTGCCCTCGAGAAACTATTCACACGCGCATGGGAATTTTTCGCATGCTTACGTATTATAATTTCTAGTTTTATATAACCTATGCTATGAGAAGCATGAGATGAGCTGATGGCATACAGCTGAGTGCAGTGTCCCGTTTGCCAAGTTCAAGGGTCTATAAAAAAGACTGCTATTGTAAAAAAGTGTTGACAATGTGGCTTTCGTTAGCGCAGTGTGTCATATTTAATGCATATTCTGTGGTGGCCAAGGCCTATATGTTAAGTTTAATGGTTTCTCGTGCACACATAAAAGTCTGTATATTTTTTATTTTTGCAAAGGTCCTCAAGGCTGTTATACAGTGCTAAGAATATCATTAGAAGAAACACAAAACATTTTGCATAATGAAAAAGTGCACCTTGAGTTCATTCAGTCACTAAACAGCTGTCATGAAAACACACTTCCTGTATGATAAATTAAATTCTTAATTTTCTATTTTAAAAAGCTAAATGGGAGCAAAAGTCTGGAGATGCAAATATTTTCCCAAACTCTGCTTTCTTTTTTTCAAACAGTGCGACTCTTCTGACCTGCATGAGGACGGCTGGACCCAGATACTTGTCTCCGTTCCACCAGTAGCTCGGACAGCTGGTGCTGCAGCAGGCGCAGAGGATACACTCGTACAGACCGTCCTGACAGAGACACACACACACACACACACACACACGTTACACACTCACACACACACGTTACACACACACACACGTTACACACACAACACACACAACGTGTCGGTTACTCTACCAGTTTCTGCCTGT